TTCCTAGACTCAAGTTTACTCACACATTTTCTATTCCTCCCCTGAAGCAGCACAGCAGAAAGAGGTACGGGGGCTGTGGTCAGTTCACCACATGTTGTCTCTGCTGCTGCTTGCTTCTTAGGGGGAGGACACCTTACATTTTTCTCCTGCTCCAGTGTGGGTCCTCCCCACATGAGACAGTCTTCCACAGGCTTCTCCAATGGGAGTCCTTCCCACAGGCTGCAGTTCTTCACAAACGGCTCAAGCATGGGTCGCTTCTATGGGGTGCTGTCCTTCACAAACAGACTGCTCCAGCACTGATCTCCCATAGGATTACAAGACCTACCAGCAAGCCTCTCTCTGTGGGGCCACAGGTCCTGCCAGGGCCCAATATGGGCTTCCCACAGGGTCACGGCCTCCTTCCAGCATGCCCCTGGCTGTGGCATGGAGTCCTCCATGGGTTGCAGGTGGATCTCTGCATCCCTGTGGACCTCCATGGGCTGCAGGGGGACAGCCTGTCTCACTATAGTCTGTACTACGAGTTGCAGGGGAATCTCTGCTCCAGCACCTGGAGCACCTCCTGCCTCTAATGAGCTAACCTTGGTGTCTGCAGAGCTGTTGCTCTCACATATTCTCACTCCTCTCCTCCAGCTGCATCTGTGCAGGTTTTTTTTCCCCTTCCTAAATCTGTTATTCCAGAGGCACTTGCCACTGTCACTGATGGGCTCAGCCTTGATCAGCAGAGGATCCATCCTGGAACTGTCTGGCATTGTCTGTTGGACATGGTGGCAGACTTCTTACACAATTCACCCCTGTAGCCCCTCAGCTACCTAAACCTTGCCACACAAACCCAATAGTCATGTAGGTCTTAGCTCTCTGTGTTGACCTGGAGACTTGTGGTGACAATAGCACCCTTTCAAATACTAGTTGAAGGCTCATACAAAAGGGCTGCTGCTGTCTACTGGCGAATGTTTCCTTCCTGATTCACCTTCTATGTGTTTCCAACCAAGTATTGACCTAATCAAAACTCATTTAGCTTGCGAGATCTGATGTGACTGCATACTGGTGGTTATGATTTGGAATATTTCAGTGCTCAGCAGAAGAAAACATATCCACTTTGTATTGCAAACATCCAACCTGAGCATGCATTTTAATTCGTTATGCAAAGGTACACTGATACTCTTAATAGGAAAGCAGAGAGGATCAGTTTTGAGGCTGTGTTATTTTTTAGGTTTATTTGCATGTGTAAGTAATATGTAACTTCTTCAATCTAAGTGACATAACAGGAAATTCCTGTTTGCTTTACAGTTGAAGGGTAAGTGTAATGAAAAGCATCCTTCAGCATCTATCATGAATATACACAACTGTGGCTCCATAATGACCTTTCAAGCCAAAATGAGAGAGCCTGGGAAAGATTTGGTATGGATATACTTGTTGCATCAAAGTACTTGAGGCCATTGCCTACATTGTACTTACCAACAGTTTTAAAGCACCACAAGAGGTTGTAGCCTCCACATTTATGATCTATTGCAGAACGATAACTGCATTATACTTGGTTTAATTCCTCTGAAATCAATGTTCACTTTTACTTTGCTAACCCTAAGTCAAAACAGATAAATCCAGCAAACTATTAAGACAATATTGTTTTTAAGACAAAGGGTGTGTTTCTTTAATAAAACAAGAGACAACCATGCAATAAGACATTAAAACATCTACACCTACAAAGAGGGAAGTAAGCATAGTTAGCTAGCAATATTACTTAATTATATTGTAATAGAGTCTGCTGCTCTACTAGATGGAGGATTCTTTATGGAGGAGATCCTCACCTATAAAAAAGCAATTCCATTTGCGTATACAAAGAAGGTACAAAACTTTCCAAAATAACAAAGGATTATTCAGGCATTGAGTTGTTATAATTTCTCTGTCCTAATCTGGGAAAAAAACCAGTCTTGATGGTAGATTGCAGGAGTCCATCTGGTCGGGAGGGGTGTGGTGTGTGTACCAGTCCTTTCCCCCTTTAGTGGGGAGATGTCTATCTTTCCACAGTGCCCATTCTTCCCTGCCAGGCTGCCTGCGCATTAATAATAGGGAACAGAATCCATTCAGTGATTGATACCAGCTTATGCTAAACAATTTCCCCTCCTGTTCCCAATAAACATGGCTGTTCAAATAGATTATAGTGTCTCAGAGCGTTCACATCCCCTCGAATTCACCTCCCCGCTTCCCCCCTCCCGCCTTCGATGTCCTTTAGCTGCTTTTTTGTGATGGTAATGAAGCTAAACAGCATTTCAAAGAGGGCTTTGATTAGCATGATAACCGTGTAGTGGCTTGATGGGCAGCATGGAATGGTTGTCTAGCCTTCCAGCACCAACAGCTTCGAAGAGAAGTTATACAACTTGTTAAAATGCATGCATGGATGTAGATATGAATGTATGTGTGTTTGCATTCACGTATATGAGGTATCAATAAAACCTGACAAGGTCCATTCATTGATACTCCCTGTTGGAACAGCGTTTTCTTAATGCACAGGCTAATTGCAGCAATTTGCCAAAACTTGCCTGGGTAATCCGTATCATTTAAAGAGGGAACAGGAGGTAGAACTGCGGTAGAGCTCAGTACTTACTCATCAAGCATCACCACATTGCTGCTACTCAAGCCACTGGGCGTTGCTAGAGATTGGACTTTTGGAAATGGTATACAGCAGAAAGACTGCAGAAAAGTCCATGTCTTAAGACCTACGTAACAGTGTCAACATGCACACTGGGGGCTGAAACTAAAATGCTGTGGCACCACCAATTAAAAAGCAATCAGATCATTTATGTTGAGTTTATGCTAAGAGAATGCCCTTTATCCCTTGTGATATTTATTCCTTTTTCTGAAAATTAAGTGCAAGACAAAAGTTTTTTCCTGGACTTGTTACCTGACGTGCATTATGGTTCTAAAGGGTTAGAGCCACACAATGGGCCTGTTGGCTATTTCAGAGTAGTTAGACTTTATGGGACATTACTGACTCCTCTGGTTTCGTTTGTTTTTGAGAGTCAGCTTTCAGCCTCCCCGTTGTAATTATTTGGAGCACAACCATGAAAAACTGCCTTGTGTACACAGCATCATGCTATGTGTAGTGGGGATGGCTGGGAGCATGCCCAGATCTCTCAGTAGGAGCAGCATGGCCAAGAGGTTATCACCCTTCTCTCAGCACTCATTAGAGCACAGCTGGAATTCTGCATCCAGTTTTGGGCCCTGCAGTACAGGAAGGACAATAATAAACTGGAGTGAATGCAGTGAAGGGCTACCCTTGATGGACAAACGTAGGTCACTTGCCCTTAAAGGAAAGGCAGCAGGGAATGAATCTTCCTTCAGTTTGTGAAAGGGATGGCTCAGGGGTAACTTTACAGCAGTGCCTACTAACTAGTACCTATCAAAGAGCACCCCTGCCTTACTGAGAAGCTGGAACCAGGGTCCTCCTGGCAGTGCATGGCAGCAAGACAAAGGACAATGGCCATGAAGAGCTGAATGGCAGATACAACTGGGTATGAAGGAAAATATTTTGCCAATGAGACTAAAAAAAATATTGGAACATAGAGGTTGTACAGTTTCTGTCCATGGAGGTTTTCAATGTCTAGCTGGATAAAGCCCTGAACAACTTAATCTGACCTCATAGCTGACTCTGTTTTGAGCAGGAGGCTGGACTACAGCCATCTTGAGGTCCCTTCCAGCCTGAATTACCCAGGGATCCTGTTTCACACAACTCACAGCAAAGCTGTACAACTTTGCTGCAGGATGCTGCAGACACTGTGGGTGTCAATATAGGTTTCAGACACTGGCCAGGGTCACCAAAAGGAAATGCACTGATGTTTTGGGTCTGAACCCCAAACTCATAGAGAATGGAAAATGTTCAGAGGAAATACTACTGTAGGCTTGCTATAATCTCATATTCTTCCTTGTGCAGCTGCTTATGGCCGCTGTCTGAGTTGAGGACTGACTGTCCATTTCCCAAACCAATATGGTTCTTTTTGTCTTTTTATTTCTATGAAACACACCATCAGCATGATCTACTGTTTCAAACCTAAAATTTTGCAGAGCTTTTAATTACAGGGAAGTGGAGCTTTTAGAACGTCATCCCTACCCTTGGAAGGAATAGTAAAATAATGAGGCTTTTCAGACTACATTTTTTTCCCATCAATTTTCATAATGACAGTATTTGGGGGGAAATTGAAGATTGTAGCATGTTACCAAAAAGTACCAGAAATGTTGTAGAGTGATCTTTTTTTTTTTTTTTTTTTTTTTTTTTTTTTTTTTTCAGAAGTTCAACAAGTTCATTGCAATCTGCCTTTCAAGGTCATCCGTCTGAATCAATGATCTTAGTTCCACCAGTTCTGATTTTTTGAATAAAATTGTAATTACCATCCTTTTAAGCACCAGCTGTTCTATTGAAACATGATACTGGTGGTGTACTCAGTCCTGGTGGAAAAATATCTGTGAGCTGCTCTTCACTGAAGCCTCAGAGCTGATTGCAAGAAGCATTTATAGTCACAGAATTAAAGGGGCCACAACCACATCCTTTATGGATACAGTTCCTTCTCCTTTTGTGCATTATCCTGTTCAAACATGCATTTGAACTTCCACTGTACTTGTTCCTTATAAAATAAGGAGAAAAGGGAAAGTACAATAACATGCAGTGAAATGTGCAAAGGAATAACCTGTGAGCTTGTCCACATGATGAGCCATATGAGAGCAATGCACAGAAACAAACATTTTGGGAAAATATTTCTTTGCTGTTCTTTAGCAGTACCCATGTTTTAGCAGTGTGTACCATCTTTATCAACAGGCAACCAAGGTTAACAATTTAAGAGGAAAACTATAATCTACGTACAGTCGGATACTGTATGTAAAGAAGAAATCAGTGATGAAAAGAGAAGCAGAAGTGCTTTTCTAGCAGGATTTTCAGGAGAATTGAAAGCCTGATTGGCACAGGAAGTGGCATGGGAAAATAAAAGCAAGAGGTGGAATTTGTCTTGGCAGGAAAGTGATGTTCTACTATTAGAAATGCCTGCAGGCCAAAAAGAAAAAAAATCCTGTGCAGAGATTTTAAAAGGATTTTCCAACTGCTTTAAAGCTCAGATCCTACACTAAATATCCTCCTAAAGCACATAGAATTTGAGAAGTGCAGAAGCTTTTGGTCATGTTCAGAGAAGCCAGAAACCAGTGAGTATTTCTTCTCTCAGACTGGGTTAGTGACAGTTTCTGTGCAGACAGGCAAGATGCAAGGAGCAGCCAGGCACTGTGGTGCACCTGCCAACTGCTTCATCCCTGCCTTCCCTCCTTTCCCCTGAAAGGTTTTTTCTTTACATATTATATTTTAGTGTATTTTACTTTTTTCTTCTATTTTTATAAGAAATGAGATGGTGGTAGTTTAACAACATGTCGGAACAGTAGTTCCTGCCAGGTCACGGTGCTACCAGCGAGCCCTTGGGACTGAGGACACAGGGGAGGGAATTTGCCTCGTCAGCCACAAAATCTGAAGCATTGCAGTACTGCTGACTGAATAGGCATTGCTGTATTTTTCTCTATTAATTACATGGCCTTTTCTCTTTCCAAAGCCAGGAAAATGTCCACGCTGTCAGAAGCCTTTACCTACGAGGACACTCATCCCTCTGCAGTGTGCTATCAGGAATTAGAGTGCTTGGCGAGCCCCTGCTCTCTGTAAGTCTTTCCCTTACACAACAGACCTTGAGCAGGATTCCTGTGCTCAGTGCTCCTGACCATTAACTCATAAGCCTCAGTTCAAGAAGGCTTTAATGCACATAATGACATATCTCTTTTTCTAAAGATTGCACATAGCATGCTACCGTTATCCCTAAATTTGGCCTGAAGAAGTATTTTTTCCTGAGTCAGAGATGAGTAAGTATCTGGAATGAAAAGACAATACACAAGGAACAGTGAAGGAACACAATACTAAATTTTTTCTTATTTATTTAACCGAAATAAATACGGAAAAGGAGAAGAGAAATACCAAGAGCATATAGAAAATACCAGTACAATTGAATGGACACGACAAGATTATTTCATTTGTGACATCCCTCTATTTAATTTGAATTCATTTGTGTCTATTGCTGATTGCAGATATTTGGCATGGGAATTATATTTTACTGCTTTCGTGTGCAGCAACTTTTGCCAGAATCAGTCTTCATCTCATGCTGGATCTTTCAACAGTGCTGAAGGACAGATGATAATAACTGGTAACAAGTATGGAGGGCTCTTGTAATCATTACTATATTTCTGAAAAGTAATGAGGGGAAAATCAGAATGACCACATGTATTAATAAAAACTACTTGCTGACTAGAGGGCTCAAATTATTTCATTCAAGATAATATGAAAGATTGAGACTTCATCTTTCTTTAGAGATGTTACTTTTGTGACTTCTTTGATATTTGCTCTTGCTTTAAAAAGTATATTCTTTTATCTTGATAATTGAGGTTGAAAAGAGAGTCTTTTATTTTGGGATATGTAACTCATCACATCTCCAGATGGAGCCACTGCAAATAGTCTGAGCACTTCCAGTTCCTACTTCTCACTGTGCCTGTCTTCTGCTAGCCAACACGAGGTAATTTTGTCTTAATATTTCATTGAATTGGTGTATTAGTAATACATCAAAGATGATGCCTTAATGAAATGCAGCCGCTGGATAGTCACAGCATTTGAAAGCAATGTCAGAAAAAAAAAGTTGTTTACTCTGCATGGAAAGGGAAGGCTGATGATATTTGATCTCCCAGAATCTGGAGGCTCCAGTTCTGCAGTAGGTGAAATAGACAATATATATTTGGTGTTATGTGAATTTTAGAGCTGGTGATAGACATGTTATCTCAGTCAGTTGGCAGAGATTCACAGAGCAGGCAGATGCTGCTGCAACCAAGTAAGCTTCCATATGCTGCCTTGTCTCAAAACTTATCTGGAAAGCAGTCAGAAAATACTTTGTCATACCATGACAAATTCTTGGCTTCATAGCCAAATGTCCTGCTGTGGTTTGTGACCAGTGTCAGATATGTGGTACTCGCATTTCTCACCTGGGTGCTGAGAGCACTCAGCTCATCCAGTACAGGTCAAGGGATAATCAGTCTTCAGAGGCTGGCAGTCCCTGCCCACTAGTGACTAGTGGCTGGTGTTGGAAGCAGAGTTCAAGGTGAAGGATCTGCAGATACCACTACCTGTGCTCCAGGCCATCCATGTTTTCTCAGAACACAAAAATACAGAAAAATAAAGACTACAAATTGACAGTAGATGTTTCATTAACTTCTTCAATCAGTGTGATATTTTCTTCATAGGAGGATATTACTTGTTTGCAGGTGACCAGTGCTTTTCTTTTTCCTGAGATTATCACCTTAGAGAAACAAAAAAGGAGTCCAAGTCAGCTTTTACGACAAATGGTGGTTACAGGAGCACTGTACTTTGTTTCTCCTTGAACAGATTTCATGCTTTTTTTATGCTTTCTTCCTCCTGGTCATTTGATATCTCAATGTGTTTATCTCTGAAAGAACCTCATCCAGAGCTCTTGACAAACTCCTTTTCTCTAGGAGCCAGTGATATAGTTTATACATTACTTAGAGATGCAATTAAAAAAGTCTTCTCTCAACTGCAATCTCTTAAGGTTGCAGAATAACTGATCAGGCTGTTGGCTCAATTTGCTGTTTGATCATTTAGTTGATAAGGTGAATCCTGACTTGGTCAGATTTTCTATGGTGAATCAATCAAGTGATGGAAGCTGAATATTGCATTTTCTCACCTTATGATAAACACGAAAAGCATCAGTGTCAGTAGACATCTATTTTGGCAGGTAGTTTAAGCTCTAAATGTTATTTTTATCAGCAACTAATATCCGTTAAAAATAACTGCATTTTGGAATGACAGCAATTATGCTCACTCTGCTGTTGTGTGAATAGCTGTGTGAAGTGGACAAACCCAGGGGTTGCCCCAGTGTGTTTCTTACCAGTGGCCCATTAGGTCAGTGTGTTTTACTGGTAAATAATTTTGCATGAGATTGCCTACAAATGACTAACAGGTGGAACACTCTCAAGTAATAACAGAAATGTGTAGTAGAAATGATCTACCCTGGGAATTTTTGTTTTACTTTTTCCTTTTAAAAATAATTTTTTTCATCTGATTTAATTCATTCAGTAAGAAGCCAATAAGAAAATCACTTTTGAAGGAACATAATGGCAAAGGAAAAACAAACAAACAAACAAACAAAACACCCAGAAAAAGAAAAGCTAAATATAAAATATATCCTTGCATAAGACAATAGCTGGTAAGGTAATGACATAAGAAAATTTCAAAGTTCTCTTCAACTGATCAGAACTGAATGGTAATCAAATGGAAAATGTCTTCCATCTTATTAAACAAGTATTCTCCCTTAATAGAGAATGTACTATTAATTACTGAAAATGCTACTGAAACTGTACTTTAAATTCATTGTGTACTACACGACTTGACTTTTGGAGAGTATTTTTTTACACACTTGCCTAGTTTACACATTAGTCTTTCCTTCCTTGAAAAAGTGTGCAAATGACTAAGAAGTCCATACAACACCCACCCTTTGCTTAACTTTTCACATTTTACTGCAAAATGTCTTAAATCCTGTAGATTCCAGGCTCCTCTGAAATAAAAAAAAAAAAGTCCTTTAGAAATATATTAAAACAAAATATAAAATTTTCTGAAGCATTTTAATTCATTGTAATAATTGAAAAATGAGTGGTTTCTTTCATTTTTGTGAGTATAGAGAGAATTTTTAGTGACAAAATAAATAATAATTGAATTTAAATATCTTCACTGAAAATTAAGTAATCCAAACAAATATAACATTGACTCCTTTTTCTATGTGCATCCTAATAAAGTTTAATTAGATGGAATTACCTGTCATTTCCACTTCTGCTGCATTCTGAAATGTGGCATTATATAAAACCAGCTTGCCTTTTCATACAGGTTTCAATTTCGGGAAATCAAAGATGTGTTTATATAGCCTGAATTTCTGGAGAAAGGTTTTTGAACTACTGACCACTTAAAAATCCTCTTAACTTCTTCCTTAGTAGATATTGAATCCTTGTTCTCTGTAAATTCTAATCTGAATGACTGTTACCTGCTATTAAATTTATCCAAGATGAAATTGTTGCCTGTAAATTCTCCACATTATATCTCAAAATTAATACTCCTGCCAACTTCATACATATTTTTTTCCTATACGATCAGTTTACTAATATGTGTTTTTATTAGGAAATTCCTGTTAGTTTAAAGGCATGAAATGGCAGTATTTAGTTAAAGGAGAAGTACTGCTGCTTCAAAACAAAAGTTATTATTCTGTATTTAGTCTGAATCCAAAAATTCTATTTCATACACCCACTCTTCTGTTGCAATTATGTTTCAGCAAAACCTCGCCCAAATCTGCAGAAGACTGGTAGTTCATTTTATGAACTTCAGTACTTAAAACGGAAAAAAATATCAGCTCATCATTTTTAGGCCTTTGTGGAATTCTCTGTATCACATGGAAACTAACTCTCTTATCTGCTCAGAGCTGATGTGAGAAAAAGTAATATCAACTCTGAATATATTACCAGGATAAAATAGCTGCTTTCTAATAGAGGGAGAAAAGGATGATGGTGGCCATGATATCCACATGCCTGTAAAGCTCTGTGTTTCCCTGATATCTTTATTTCCACACCAAGTAGAAAGATGAATCTTCCAGCTTCTAAAAGAAGTGATGCTGTGAAGTTGCTGAGAACTGGGTTTGGCACGATTTTCCCCCATCGTTCTCTTAAATAAGTCCCAAAGTCTTATGCTTGTTTGTTAGGCTTATAAATACAGACTGCTTCCTTTTCCGCTCTGGCTGCTTTCCTTGATATTGGCTGGCTTCAAAGGACAGGGAAGAGGAAGAAACATGCTGACAATGCTCACACTTTCTGTGAATCTCTTTCATTTATTGTAGCCTTAGCTCATACAAATTTCAGCTTTGAGGCATTTGCTTGTACAGCCGTCTTGTCACTGGCAGTTTCTCCAGCTGCCCCAAATCCTTTCCAGCTCCGCTCTATTTTAAGGACCTGGCTGCACTACATCTTCTGGGTGAAGAGAGAGAAACAAAAATAAGAGTTTATTTGCCAATGTCTTCTGGATTTAAAACAACTCAGCAGCTAACCCCTGCTGGGGAAATAGTTGCCACATTCGCTTAGTTCAGAAGGAGCAAGCACCTTTTCTGTATCAGGAACTTCAAGCGTTTAATGAATAACTGCTTCAGTATTTGTGCCCTTAATCCTTTTTATGCAGAAGCCAGTGAGGATATTATACATTAATTAATAGACCTGATTGTAGGTGTCTATACATGGATATTGTCATGTGAGTTTGAAGAGCTTGTTACAGGCAGTGGAGATCTAGACAATGCAGGATCCTGCAGAACATTGCAGCTGGCCCGTCTGGGAGACTCAAATGGGATGCCCACACCAAACTACTTTGTGCCATCTGAGCTGTAACTGAGGTATTCACACCATGATGGCAGAAACGAGACAGAACCTCCAGGAAGTCCACATCCTCCCAAAGCAGCAGTGGAAGGTCAGGAGGGAGGTGCTAGTGTGTCTCAGCACCAGCTGCTTGTCTGTAGCAGCTCCCTAGTCCTCTGCTCTGAAAGGAATTGAATTTCCCTCTCACAACTGTCTGACTCCACTGATTTGTCATGTCAGCTTAAACACATGGCTTGCCTGTGGACAATCACAAATAGGCATCTGTCTTTAGGTTTCATAATCTGGAGCTGAATTTCTGCACAAGACTTATTGCTAGGCCCTCACTTTTACTGCTTTGTACCATACCAGGATTACACCACCAGGTTCTGGAGAGTTCCTGGACTAGGTGTCACAACAAGGCACTGCATTCTCCAAGAAGACTGGAAATATGCAGTCAAGGAGCTTATGAAACATGCAGATTTAGAGCACCCTGAGTGCATGCGCTGGAATACAATCAGGCCTTAAGGCAACTGAGCATACATAGGGCATGGGCAAATGTACACAGACAGGGCAATGGCTAATGCAAGTTAGAGCCATCCCTAAGGCAAGTTGGTCCTAAATATTTATTGGGACTGATAAGCCACTTTTGACTGTTGGGGTTTTTTTGTTTTTTGTTTTGTGTTTTTGCCATATGACTCCTCAGACCCTGTACCAAGTATAGATTGCAGGATGCAAAGACTGGACTATTATTCTTCAGTGAATCTTATAATAGAAAGCACAATGCTGTCTAACTTGTATGATGGTTAGAAAAAACACAAATATAATACTAATCTCTACTGCCCAGTGTATTTAAAAGACTGTATCCTAAATCAAAATGCATTGGAAAGTACATATTGAATACCTTAAAAAACATATTTGACAATATATTTACATTTCTCTTTTGCACAACTTGCTGTCAGAGAAATTGGTAAGAAATAGCAGCAAGGCTCATGTTGTAACAAAACTGAGATTTCTGGCCATATTGACACCAGACTGGTATTCCTGGAGTTAATCTGTTGAGGAATACAAGAGTCTATTGAGCAGAAACACACAGAAGCTGTTCAGATCTGGAAATGTGTAGCTGCATTGCCATGACATTATCCTGAGCATTTATGCTCTACAAACACATCTGAACTTCTCTGAGCCTTGAACTGTTGGCTCTGTACAGTGCCAGGCTATGGCATGGGGACCTGCTGGCTCAGGTTTGCTCTAACTCAGGTACTTCATTATACACCAGAAACCCTAACTTCATTATACACCAGAAATTTGGCCTTCATATATAAGAATAAGCAGGTAAAAAATTTCAAATATGAGCTATCCCTCTTTTCTTTAGCTCATCTTAGAGGGACTCTAATAATACATATATTCAAGATAGACTTGATAGATTCAAGCAATCAAGATAGATTGCTCTAGAGCCAAACTACAAACTTTTACATATTCTCTTGTTGCTTAAGTCATTCTTAGCCACAAATATTTGCTGCCAGTCTAATATATGGATAGACAAAAGACTGACTAACTCGCATTCACATTAAACTATGCCATGTATGTCATTAGTGCTTTAAATAAAATGTCTTTTCTACATCCAGGTTTCATCTTCTGTTGTTAACTGATATAGCACTTATTCCAGGAGAGTTTTATCTCTCAGCAAAGACACGTGGTTTTTAAAATTCCATACATTGTGTAGCAGACTTAACCTATGTGGTCCATTTATTCCCACTTCAGCACATTATCTCCAGTATGTAAAATGAATTATTACTTCTTTCCCAGTGTGGCAGCACATTATGCTCCACAGAAGACCCAAAACTTGTAGTCTGTATTCCCACAAAATGTTCTTCCATGATGTCTGGGTGTCTCTAACAACACTTATTTAACTACCTGGTCATTTGTATTGTTATAATAGTATTAAAAGTGTATGTTAATATTAAAACTTTATTGAACTGCTTCCCAAAGGACATTAGAATCTGAGGGTGAAACTCATTCCCATGCAGCTCATTTGCCAGCCAAAGCAATACATATTTTACATGTGATTTATTGAAGCATGGCCCAGCTGTTCAGCGTCTGCTTAGGAGATTTTCATTCTGGTTGGATGAACTCTGGGTGAGACCTTGCTGCTGTCTCATAGGAGTCTTATAAATTTTAAATAGTACTATTTATGTGTGTTAAGTGTATAAAGCTCATGGCATTTATGTGAGAATCACTTTGTCCAGACCTAAAGTAGAAACCACTTCTGACATAAAATACAACTGCTATTTAGTACCTCTAAAATGCTGTAGAAATTTGAAGATATATTCTATATTTCTACGAAACTACTACACTATGAAAGCAGTGTAGTAGACAAGAAGAAAACAAGTATCCTTTTTAATATTAACCCTATTATTCTAACTGGTAGTAAATATAAGGTTCCTTCTAAACCCTTGGTGTGATCTGTTTTCCTAAGTGAATCAGAAGAGAGACTTAACAGCTATTGAATCATCAGCTGTGTTTTCAATAGCATATGGGATTTCTCCCTTAAGTACCAATGCAGCCCAATCCTGCTTAGGTTGCGATAGCTGATTAGATCACAGCTTGGGGCATACACAGTAATTGCTATTACCTTAATTATTTTACCTTGTATTAGACATGCTACTGCACTTCCACTATTCTCTCTTTCACTGTTCCATTCTTATCTTTCCAGTTAGATGACAAAATCATCTAAACAATAACCAGCATCAAAAAGAAGGCCACAAAATCCCACTCCTACTTATTCTTTCAGATTTCTTGATTTTTTTTTTTTTTTTAAGGAGGAAGAGAATTGTTGGTTAACATATGGCTACCCTTTAGGCTAATGCTTTTGTTTTGATGATGTTGCTAAAGGGGCTTAGATTAACTTTTTCCAGTGTTTCCACTTAGTTCCCTTAGTACTGGGAATTGTATATATATAAAAGTTTAGATTTTGTATTAGTCCTATTGTTGCACCTATTCAATTAGAAGATCATAGCATGTTTTGCAGAAGTGACTAAGAGTTTAGAAAGAGTGGATGTTGCCTGAGCTACATATAGCTCTCCAACTACCCATTTTGTCTGCCTATCCACCTCCTATGTAGTGTTTGCTTTGTCTTTGGGAAGTCTTTTACTGGCTTCTCTCTTTTGACCTAACAAAAGCTCAAGGGAGAAAAGGTTAGAAGAACTTCCTGCTTTTGGACGCGTGGTAAATTGGAAACCATTAACAGTGCAAGGCACATTAAGTCCAAATATGTTGAGACCCTAATTTGTGGTGGTAAGGCATGAAAACAGGTTGCCCACAGAAACTGTAGTTGTACTTCATAGCAGAAACTGAGAATGAGAGAATCTGAAAGCAGTCATCTGTCCCTCGTATTTGCTTGCACTGTAGTGTGCCACTGGGATATCCTGATTATGGGGTTTCTTCTTGCAGAGAAGAGTCATCATCAAAGCCTGGACAGTGGTGTGAGTCTCTAAACTGCAGGAGCAATGATCTGCAATGATGACCCGCATGTGGGAGCAGGCTTTCTCTCTTATACAGGTATAAATTTATGAGGAAGATCCACCTCTGTCCAGGGTAAGATCATCCCCTTTTCCACTTGCATTTATCCTACAGGCTTGAGCCTGAATGGAAAGGGAAGCTACATTAAGACTAAATTATTTATTGAGACTTCAGTTTGTGTGGTGAGACACTAGAACACGTTGCTCAGATAAAATGTGGATGCCCCTTTGTTGGAAGTGGTGCCCATCACAGGGCAGGGTAGGACTACAGACAATTTTATTCATGTTGAAGACTTTTGCCAGTTTTACATGACAAGAAAAACTCCTGTTCTTATTCAAAGTTCATTGAAGAAATGGCTCTGGCACATGTGCAATCTGTATCAACTAATTTTACACCCTGGTAGCTAATGGAGACCATCACACATTTTGTCTTTTAAAGGCATGATGAGGTGGCTATTGTGAGTTTTTGGGATCTTCAGACTTTTTTATCATTCCCCAATGAGCATTCCCTAAGTGCAGCCCCATACCCTGTGAGTCTGTCCTGTTCCTTCACATGATTACACATGAAAATGTCAAGAGTTCTTCTGAATACTTTTACCAGGAAAATTAGGCTAAAAGTCACTTTATCTTTTAAGCTGTGTATACACATGCACATGAGCGCACACACACTCACACTTCTGTGCCTCCTCCTTGTGAAGTCCACTTTACTAAGCATGATCTACCCTTTTAAATCCATGCAGAGCCTCATGACTCACTTTGTACTTGTCAACATTTTCTAGCTTGTTGCTGACCGGTGATACCAAATCTTCCTTCATATAAATGTCAGATATTTAAAAAATCCTCATTTTTTTTCTCTGGGATATCTGCATATTTGAGAAGAATTTTATTAGCCTACTTTGGGCTCTCATTTTAACTCCTCTTTTACACCATTATTTTGAACAATCCTGTCTTTCTTATGCTTATTCCAGTGAAGAGACAAAAATATTTTATTTTAAATATATTCCAGCAAAATCAGAGTGAACATTAGCTGTCTATAAGGGTTAACTCATTACTGAAAAGCATGCCTGATAAATTGGAAGTGTGGCTCTCAGCCAAGAGAGATCAATATATTCTGAGCATTCATTTTCTGCCTTCAGAGTGGCAAATCCTGTTGCTGGTATCAGATGTGATACAGCTTCTGAAAGAAGCAACCTCAGAGGCAAATTCATGCTTTGCTATTCAGAGAACTATCCACTAACAGTGTACATGAATTAAGGGCATGCCTTACTTATTGTTGTAGCGTTGTATCTGGAATTGCAAATTGTAACTGAGAAACAAAAAGAAGCCATAAACAACTTTAAAATAAGTCAAATTCCATTTTCAAAATATCATGTGAAGTGTCTAGTAATGTAAAAGCTTTAAGAGGTATTTATTAAGCTCCTTGACATATTTTAACCCCAAATTTCAGCCATATTTTCACCCCAAATTTCAGCCATATTTTCTTCTATTCTGAGTACTAAAATCAGTAATTCACATGCGTGATGGAGTTGTTAATCCAAAAGCATTCCCATAATCTCAGTATGGATCAGTAAAGAGCTCCAGTCAAGCTGTCTGCAAGTGAAGCCGTCATAGAACAATGTATGATTTAAGAATAACTAAACAGCAGTTAACCTTCCCGTTTTAAAAGAAAGTAAATATTCCACTTTTTTTTTTCCTTACAGACTCATTTTGCTTTATAATCCCTATTTCATAATTCCCTATCTGCAAACTTTAATTCAGCAGCTTTGTATTTAATTTACATTGTGTTTGAATTACACTGTGTTTAATTTACATCTACACAAGAGCAAGGAACAGAAGTCAGGCTTTGACAAATCCAGGCCGTATTAAACCTAGTCAAATTCTTTCCAAAGGAAAAAATGCAGAGCCCCAGTGCTAATATTTCTTTGATGTCGTGGAATTTATGGAAGATTATAAATTTAATAAAAAATTATATTTATGGTTGCTCATCTACTACAGTCACAGAGGTCTATAAGAAGGCTTTTGGGGGGCCTTCAGTTTCCTCTGGCAGACTATGAACAGAATGAAACACACATCCTGGGCATGGTGAACACCTGTGTGCTTGCTGCCTGCTTCACCCAGTCACGCTGAATGAAGCCTTCACCCAGTGCCTCCAGTGCACCAACGTTGTCCCGAGCATCAGAGCCAAGCCTATGGAGAAGGGAAAGTTTTGTGTAATAGGAGAGGGAAGACTAAAGTAGCCTTTCCCAGGTTTCTCTGCCCTCTTCTGCTCCTTCTCCGCCCTTCTCAGCTTGTGAGGTGCCTTTGCCAACCCTGAGGCCACGGAGGCCTGTTAGCAACAGGAACATTGCTCCCTGCAGCAGGCAAGGCAGGACAGGACAGAGGTGCACAGGGGTGGAGAAGGGCGTCCTTGGAGAGAAGGATGGGAGAAGGGAGGATGAGAAAAAGTGGAAGGGCAGAATTACACTTCTAAACACCCTAGAATTCTTTAGCACTCCAGAATAGCCCCTTTTCTCTTACTTTTCAAAGTTAATTACCATACTTATTGAGAGGCAACTCTTATTAATCCACATGCTTTTGCCTTTACTGTTAAAAGACATAAAATTTGTTTTCCATATGGAATGGAAATGGAAATATGTTCAACTATTGCAGGACAAGCTCACACATTAATGTAGCAGGCTCTGAAACATCTCAACTCTATTCTCCTGACATGCAGTCAATTGTTCATTAAGGAGAAGGTAGCTATATTTTAAAGAACTTACATTTAAAAGGAAGTATTTTCTTTTTTTAAAGGAAAACTCTTGTATGCATACAGTTACAGAGAATGTATTCATTTATATATCTTTCATATAATTAAATGATATTCGTAGAAGAGTCCTAATATGTAAAATATGCTTGTTTAGACATTTATGAAATGCAGTGACTAATAATTTTCAAGATTTTCTAATGGATGTTTCCTATTGTTCAAGCAATGCAGAAGGGATATATTTCCTGCCATTTTACAAAATGCAAAATATTTTCCCAGTGCAAGTTCTACATTTGCTCTTTCTCCCTAACACTTTCTGGCAGGGAGGAAAAGATGTCAACAGTTCATGTAGAGCATGCAAGAAAAATTTCCAGTGTGATTATGTACTCTCGGTATTTCAGCAGTCTGGAGAAGAATTCTGTATATTCATGCACTGATATAGACAAATTGTTATTTTTATTGCCTTCAAGCTGTTCAATGACATCATATACCTATCCACAAACAATTGTAATCACTTTGGATTTATAATTCATTGTTCATTAGAAGTTTAGTATAACTTGGTTTTCTTTCTCAGAAACAAGACTTTGCAAGTTTGACCTGAGGATAAAATACACTGAAAGAAACTTTACTACAGTATGGAAATCAAACCTTCAGAACTAAAATTCCAGCAACAACAGTTTTCCAAGATGTTTTGCATCTTATTGTCTAATTTATTTTATTTAATTATGTGTTTCAATAGGTATACTACTTTTTACAGAACTTTTGGGTATCTGAGTTTCCTTTGCAGTTTAATAGGACTCCAAAGTAGTCAGAAGTCCAAGTCTTAATTTTGTCTCGAAAGTCAACATCCAAATGCACAAAAAAATGGGCTTTGGCTTTTAAATGTAGTATTTTGTTTGAGCAGAAGCTGCAAACATTTTTTCAAATATCAATCTGTTGGCTAAGACATAATGTTGGTGCAGGGGTTTGTGAATAGTTTCCCTGTGAAATATCTTTTTGTAATGTGAGACCTTTTCTTCAGGATTGCTTTTGGTCCAGCAAAGACATCCTGGGCTGTAAGGAAACCTTTAAAATCTCCTCTGGACCCTGGAAGTCTTTGCTTTAGTAACCTCCAAGGCCTGGTCCCTAAGGGACCTGCTCCCAAGCTCACAAAATTTTGGTGGGTATGCAGGCTTAGCTGGCTCCCCCACATCCTCTCTCTTGATGTGCTCTTGAAGCCTCCCTTCCAGTGAGTGTTTCATTGCCTTTAGGAAAAGGGAAACTCATCTCCCTGTGAAGGGAGCAGCACACACTGAAAACAGTGCACTGCCAGCAGGATATGGTGAGCAGAAGCCTTCCTTGTCACCTTTGTGCACTATGTTAGAAGGAAAGGCCACTGGTATGAGCAAAATAAAACAAGTGTCATCCATCATATCTTGAAACAAGTCCAGTAGCATGGTCATTGTATTAGAACAATTGGAATTACACATTTACAAAACCAGCATTTATTTTTTGCCAGCTGACTTTTATTTGAAACCAAAATCCACAACTGGTATAGACTATCACAAAGAAAAATAATGCATGTAGAAAAGAAGATGGAATAAAAGGGGTACTCCAAACCCTTACCATACTGAACTTCTTCATGATGCTTGACTTGTTTATTTTTTTTCCATTACTTTTTTGCTTCCATGCAATTACAGTTCCTGTGTGAACTAGCAGTTGTCACTGCTGCTTTTACAGCAGCACCTTAAAGATTCACTGTTTCATTTGGGGTAAAGCAAATCCAAGAACTTCATCTTGGCAAAGCCTCTGAAAATTTACAGTGAACTTGTGTGCTCTGCTTTTAAACATAGGCAGCAATATACTTTGGAACATTCTATATTAAAATTTCAGCAGTGATTATTTACTCACTGACCACAAATGCTCCATAAATATCTTTGAACAGTAACTGCTGTGCAAGAGTTGGACTGAGATGTTCAAACTTGCAAACTGACGTCCAAATATCACTGGCAGAGATATATTGGGAGAGGCAGTGGGAGAACAGTTATTCCCTTATGCTCAGTGCATACTTTTCTGTAGGTTTTGATTGTGTATGAAACAAATGTATGCTACTAATTACTGTCATCTGGTCCTGGTGTTAGCTGCTACTCCAGGTTGTTTCACTAACCTCACAGCCCTGGGCTAGGGTTGGTATCCTCAGCATGTGCCCAGTTCAGTGGGGGCTGACACAGCCAGCAATGGCACTGAAGTGCTTGACCTTCCTTCTGCAGTAGGAGCATCACTGTGGTTTCACTCTGTTAATAATAACTTCCACTGACTCAGGCTTTTTTTTTTTTAACCTCAGAGGTGTGAGGGAACTTCAAGTCTTCCCTGTTCAGACCCTAAAGAAGCATCTGAGAGTCTTGGTGGTTTGTGAGGAACAAGAAGGTGATATGTAAGCAGACCAGGATCATCTACATGGTGGCTGCTTCTTGCTGCTGCCCCTATGAATTTTATGTTTTAGAGCAAAAAGCATGGCAGTATAATGGCTTATGTGAGCGTTTACATGAACACAAGCACATGTCTGCACTCAGCATAGTTTGAATTAAGACTGCTGTCCAAGTAAATGGCATATACTACCTATGAGCACTGGGAAGTATCTTGGAAGATATTCCAAATCTTGTCAGGCCAACTTTAGATAAGGGCTGGGTGTGAAAGCAATGACCCACCAGATACAGGCTGTGGCAGCCCCAGGAGGTGAATCAGGAGTGGCAGCACTGTGCCCCAGTCTGGACCTCTGCCTGCTGGGACCTGAAGGATAGGGCTTAAGAAGGAAGACAATGGTGGGTAAAAGGCTGGGAGAAATGCTTCCTTAGTTCCTTCCTCCCTCATTCCTTCCCTAGGAACCCTTGTATGGAGAAGTGTGATACTGGATTTCTTTCAGAGGCCTCAGAGGCTATGGTTTCGGTAAAGCTATACTGGGATATTACCAAGAAAACATCAGTGAAAATATCCATTTTAAGCCACTAGAATATATTGAAACATTGCATTTTAATTACTTGTAATAGCTAATTTGTTTATCTACACAAAAGGTTAGCTGCAATTTCAAAGCTAGTTCTATTAGATTTTATATAATGAGACATTTTATTACATTATAGGACAGCAGACCCTGTTTTTTTGTGTGTTGTTTCAAGTGCTTTACTTTGCTATTGAGGCCTTGCCATCACACCATCTTGGTGTCTGTAATCTGTTCTGTGGGGCCAAAATGATGGGCATCAAAGGACTCCTTTTTTTTTTTTTTTTTTTTTTTTTCATTGTTACAAAGGTTTTGAGAAAATTTCTGGTATTTTTGTACAGGAAACTTAATAGGAGACAAAGCAATAATAAGCTGAAAAATAAAAAGCTCTTTCTCAAGTAGCATAATATCACTCTAACCTCAGGCTGTATCACAGTGAAAATTACTACTTAGGGTCTTTTATTAAAATATTTTTTATCAATCTGCTTATTACATTATACGAAAAAAGGTTAAAAGTGACGTGTTTGCATTGTCTGCCACAGACGTACCATTTTCTCTGACAGACATCTGTTACTCAATTATCATTTTCTCACATTTCTTAATTTTCTAGTCCAACTCTTAATAAGGTCTCCAGCATGGAAGGTTCTGTTCAGCAGCAGTCTGGGAAATATTCTCCTGCTCTTTTGCAGAGAGGACTTGGTCTCCATTAAAAGAAATTATAAAGTTTGTGCCCTAATAGTTCACAATTCTCAAAAACATGCTGCTATTTTAATGTTCATGATATTTTCCCCCTAAATATTTAGCCTGTGCCATGGCAACAGCTGCTTTTAAGTTCTAAAGTTGTTTTCCCATCCTTCACTTAAGAAAAAAAATGTTAGTTTCAATTTATTCCCCTTAAATGTAAAATTCAGTATTTTAAACTTTTATTAACTATAAACAGCTATACCAATGGTTTGTGATCTGCTTTGGATTCTCTATGCAAATGGAAATTACTATATTGATTGCTATTCATTATGAAGAGGCACCTAAAACTATAGGATAAAGGCAAATAAAAAGTATGTACAATATGTGTTGTAGGTATTTTGGAAAGGGGATGACAAGTAGAGGGTAAGTAGCAAAATTAGTATTCCCAGTACATATTTAAAAATCAAGAAGCATGCTAAAAATAATTGTATCATAACAGGGACAATCAGTGGTCCAATTTTTTCCAGTGCATGAGTGTGAAGCGGATTGAATAACTGAATGTACAAATTCTTGATACTAACAGCTGAACATTTTATTGCCCAAGACAGGGCTAAGGAAAAGGACATTAAAGATCCTTAAATGTAACTATTAACAAATGTACCACAATTAATTGTTACTACTGCCATTATTGCTAGTATATTTGAAGAGTGCTGGAAGTAAAATGTAGTGGATTCCACAATAGGTACTTCCTGAGTGCATTTGGATGATTTCTTACCTTGGTCAAAATAAGAACAGACTTAATTCTGATGCAGAAATCCTACATTCCTTTTTAGAGTCGTCTGATTAGCAAGAAAATCAGTCAAACAAATTTAATGAAAAAAGTGCATGCAAGTCTTTTGCCTACGTAAGCAATACACAGGATCTTAATGGGTGTTTTATTAAAAAATAAACTGTTCTACTCAAATTCTGACTATCAACTGATTACTAATGGCTGATGGAGAACAAAAAGATTTATAATTGGATTGTGCTTATTAGCAAGAAACTACACCTTCCCACAAGAGGAACATATATAATAGACATACAGATATCTCATAACAGTTTATTCTATACCACACCTTCCCCTATTTGTTTTAAAGTGAGAGTATGAATCTATACATGCCACTGTGTCTATTGATTTGCACAGAACCCGCTGGATTGCTTGATCCAGGAAGTAACCATATCATTAAAGTTACAGTTTGTCATATGTACATCCTCCTCTGAATCAGGGCTGCTAGCATTGAATAGGACTAGGAATTGATACTAAACACTATGTCTTCTTTGTAGAAAATTCCTGATAAAATACTTATTATGCTTCTCTTATCTTAATGCTTTTTCAATGTTTTAAGCAATTTCTGTTACAGTTTTTTTCCTGCTGGAAAGTATAATTGCAGGTTTTCTTCCTTTTCTGGTGCAAGGCTTACAAACACATTCTTTAAGATCATTACATTATCTCAAGTACCTTTAAAAAGCTTCCCTCTGATCAGCTCAATGTTCTATGTATTGTAGGAGATACAGATAATAGAGTTATTCACATAAATTTGCATTAGTGATACTGAATTTCCTTAAAAGACTAAATTTAATCTAAATTTCAAAAAATGAAAAAGCATGACCAATATTTTTTTAATAGGCGCACTAGCTGAGCATCAGCTTTATGTCTGTTTGTTAAAGCAGATAGAAAATAGAAGCCTTTTCTTTAAGATCTAGGATAAAATTTGGAAATTAAATGTAAATAGAAAGTAAATGCATCTAGGTAGCTTAGGTCCCAATCTTGAAAGGCAGTTGGAGCACACCTACATTGCCATGTGCTTTCACAATCCAATTAATCTGCTTCTGGCACAACATCAAATCTCTGACACCCACAGTGCAGACTCTGCTCATCGCTTTTGGGGGCTACTGCGCCCTCACCCTACAGTTATGAAGATTTGGTGCTAAGGATGATGGGGCCTGTAGCATCTCAAAACCTGCAGATATTTCTTAGGTTACTGAGTAACACAAAGTCCATCTTTTTTGTCTCTGTAAAATGTCGATGGTTTTAACTTAGCTCTTACTTGAGGTACTCTTGAGATTGCACACTTGTTGTTTTCCTTCCTTCCACCTTGCTGCTGTTCATTCCAGCTTCCCTTTATGCTTGCCAAGTGTTTGTACAACGGGCAGATGTTCTGTGAGATGCTGGATGCTGAACAGATTAACTCTTCAGTTATAAGGTGGATTCAGGAAGGGTAGGATTGTATCAGTATGGAGCACAAGGGTGACAAGCAGTGTCTCTGGATTCTCCATCCCTGGAGGCAGATAGATTTCAGAAGCTTGCCCTAGGCCACCAGAAATGGGACACTTCTGCCCTGAAGTGGAAACAGTTGCACAATAGAGGTGGTTACCCCTCGCAGCTCTAAGTTCATGACTGGGTCAGCGCTGGCCTGTCATTATTCCTGGGCTTGTGAGGATTCATGAGACAATCAATCACATGGCCTATGTGTGGATAATGGGTATAACTAATGCACTTGAAATAGCGGCTGGCTTTCTGATAATGGACTTCCCAAAGTGCACTGAGTGTCATTAATAGTATTCATGGCTGCAGGTTGCTTGCCAAAAAAAGAAAGTAAATACATTCATCAGAATTCAACACAGACTAGCATCAAAATAAAATATGCAGGAAAGGCACATGAAGAAAGCGTAAGCACCTTGGGAATTTGAAGGGCCAAATAGAGATTGTTTTGCATGGGCTGTTCTCTAGTACTGTGTTTTCTAGAGACACCAAGGTGAACCCTGGGAGGCTGCTGAACAAGGAGCATAAGAGAGCTGAAAGCAAAACTGGCACCCTATAACTGGCACCCCTATGCCCTCACCCAGGCAGCATGCTGAGAACAGGCAGAACTAGGACTCTAGGAAAAATAGCTTTTTAAGTTGACCACACAGGTTACCTGCCAGCCTTAACTTTTTAAGGAAAGGTTGTCAGTTATTTGTCTGCTCGCTCTCTCTCATTTATCCCGTCCCTCCATGAAATCTGCCTTGGATCATGAAAGACTGAGGGAGAAGCAGGTAACATGTGAACTATTTTTCAAAGTTCTTCATTTCTGAAGCAAAATCCCATTTCACTACAGGCAGTTTCCTTGAGATAACAATCTCATTAGTCACAATGAAATCAGAAATCATTGTCCATAATGCCTGCAGTAGAAACACCATGAATGGCAGTTAACAGGGCCTGGATTTGTTTCCTCCAGGTTTTCTTCAGTCTTTTCCCTAAGCATTCCCAATCCTAGGATGCTTCATGGCCCATTCTTTTCTGCAGGCTGATCCTGAGCTTTTGACACCCCTGAGTTGTTCCCAAAACTGCTTTCCTTTTCTGCTGCAGGCTTTATCTCTTTCCTGTAAAAGTCAGTTTGACCATGTCAAGAACCAAGCCCTTAAATTAAAGTCTTTTCTATGCGGACCACAGAAATTAAGCAGAATTGTGGAGCCTTCTTTCAGACAGGTGGCAGAGCCCTGAGTGATAGCTATCATGGAGCTTGGTGCTCCTGAGTAGGACTGTACAGAGTGTTGTGATCAGTTAATGCTCTTATTTATAATTCAATATCAGCACAAAAAGGCAGTAATAAGTCAGGGTATTAAATATTTGCATAATTTTCTTTTTTCACTACACGGGTAATTGTGTAGCCCTTTGCATCTGATTTACACAACTCAAGAGTTTGCACAACTCATTTTTGTGCAAACAAAACAGTTATCAGCACTAATTAGAGTATTTATTTTAGCAGTGCAAAATCCCCAAAATTTTGATCTTGGGTATCTATATCTCTTCAGAGCTTAAAGCCTGAACACACAGGGAAATGGTATCTCTTTGTCTTGGAGCAGGTTACACAAGAGGAAAAGGCAAGTAGATAGTCCCAAGAAGTCTGTTGTCTAGTGGGATATGTGTGTTTGGCACAAGGATGCTGTCATGACCAAGAATATACCTCTTCTGCTAACTCTGAGCTTGTTTGCTGTAGTTCAAGGATCTGAGATAAAACCTTAAAAATGTTTTCTTTTAAAGGAAATAGAGAAACTCTTTCTGCCTCCTTAAAGCATCAGATGGCTAAATCCAAAGTCACACAGGTACGTAACACGGGCAGCAGGTGGATTGCAGGTTCCGGAACACACAAACACACTCCAAGAAACTCCCATCTTCCCCCTCTGCTTATTTGAAGGCTGTAGCCAACTCCCCTAAACTCATTGTGCTCATGTTTTGTCTAATTCCTAAATCTTTTTGGAACTGACAGACCAGGTAACTTGGGTTTTAACTTCCTGGGCCCATTTCCACAGACAGGCTCAGACATCCTCTTCTGCTGAAATCCCCCACTTAGCCAATGCGAGAGATTCACGGGACCAACAGAGCAAGCCACAAGGACCATGTCTCCTACACCAGCCTAAGGTGGAAATTCCCCATTGAGGCTGACAGTGACTGGCTGTGGCAGGATGTCTAGCTATTTTTTCTTAACATTTGTTAAGAAAAGTCCAAAACTGTCTAAAAGAATATAAATTGTTGGTATACTCCTTACGTCTCGTCTGTGAACTTTTTGACCTGATGTTCAGCAATGTGACAATAGCTTGCAAGATAAGACTTTTTTAATAAAAGGAAAATCTAGAATGGTAAAATAGATGAGCAGTGGGCAGAGAAGATGCTGTATGGAGTTAATCTCTGGCCTGCCTAGTGCTCAGTTCTGACAGGTCTGGTATCAGTTTTTTAATGAAATCACATTTTAATATGACTTGCACACATTTATGTAACACTTAGTAAGAATATAGTAACACAGCCTCAGGCTCACATAAGTGACCAGTCCATCTAAAAGAATCAGAACCTACCCTTCTCCACAGATGACACAGCCAAATACTACAGAGCCATCAACAACAATGTGGTATGCTCAAATATTTTTATCAGAATGACATGGAAGTTCTGATCCAGAAGCCCACAGAAGTTGCACTATCTTATTATTGTAAAAGTTATTTTAGGTAATTTTTGACTTTTATTTGCAGAAGAAATTTTCCTTCATACCTTTTAAGGCTTCCTGTAGTCAAACATGTGTATGTAAACATGTCAGTTACTTAGTAAAAAAAAAAAACAAACGAAAAGTTTAGAAGACTTAAAAGCTAAGGCATTTTTCCTAGCTTAGAGGTAATTTATGCTGCAAATTTCCATTTACTGAACAACATTATAGTCCTTCAGCAACTGAACCCTCTGCTTGACCATCTTCATATTTCTACCTTTTAAGAAATGCATAAGAACAGGAAATTAAAAAAATTAATATCTTCTTTAGAACGCTCACAGAATAAAACATTTTCTTGATAATACTTCTTTTGCTTCTGATTAATTCTAGGGTTGTACATGCTTCAGATGACCTGCATGTTGCAGTATCAAGTAAGAATAAAGGGTGCTTCCTTGAAAATCAAGATTTGATTAATTTAAAATTCTCTGGGTAAAAAACTGTAGACAGAACTGTCAGGAAGTTTATAGCTACATGTGTGATATAATTCACCATAAAATGCACATCTAAATCAGGTGGCTGCTTTATTCCATTAGTAGCATTGGGATATGCAGAAGCAGTTGTTCAGTGTAAAACAGCTCATGTGAGTTAGAAAAAGCAAGTAAATTAACTTGAGCCAGGCACCCATACAAACTTCTCCTGTGGCAAATAAATGTGGAATTATAGACTGCCATTGCCTTAAAGGATTTATTTGTAAAGTACTGCATAAGACAGAGAGAAGCATATGTATTCCATCTAATGATGCAAATATTGTGAACTATTTAATATGTAGTATATTTGTTCCTGAGAAGCCAGTCATACTTAGAAAAAGTAGGACTTATTCCTCATTTTGAAACACATTTCTGGAGCAAATCCAAACCAGCAGCTGGGATTTTATGACTCCTGCAGGATCCTAAAAAATCCCACATTCAGTCCTAAGGAATTCTTACTCACATTCAAAGTGATGATACTATAAAAAATAGCTAGAAGATGGCTTATTGTGGACTGGAGAGTTGAGAAATCTACTCCTTTATTCCTCTGACCTGCAATTTTGCAGAACTCTGGTGCTGGCAAAAAAAAAAATCAATGGAAGGATCAGAACTACAATGTTAAGGCTCATTGTTTATATTTTTATCATTTGTAATAATAATGTCAGGAGTAAAAGGTGGATATCAGAGGTAGTATGTAAGATTTAGGACATGAATGACACAATAATCTGAAGTTTTATTTCAGTCCATGGCACTTGAAAGTCCAGGTGTCTTTTAAGAAATGGCAGAGGTAAATGCCAAAGTAATTTTATTTTTAAAGTAGTTATACACTTTATTGCCTTTAAACCTGTTCCTGGCTGTGTATTCTCCAGGAACTCTTGGGATAGTTTTCTCCACCTCCTCCTTGTATTGGTACCTTCTGGGCTGAAGAGCTGCAGAGTCTTTTCTCTCTCAATTTTCTCTGCCTGGACACCCCAAAGGCATTGTGTGGGAGCTTTGCCCTGTGAGCAGAGAATCTAGCTGGAAATCTTTATTTCATAATGCTTAGAAATTCACATACACACTCACATTTTTCTTTAGAAATACCAATAACACCCCACCCAACATTATTTAAGTAAAAGGATTATGAAAGGATGGAGAATATTAGCAGAAATATGTCTCTTCTAAATGGAAAGAGCCAAGATTGGGATTCAAATATGCAGGAAATCCAAATTAAGTGTCCCCAGTAATGAAACAAAAGTATCAATAGTCACATGATTCAAAGCTGACATAAATCCAATTTGATACTTGTAACTTGGTGAAATGTTTTTGGTTTGTTGACAGCACATTGCTGGGTTTTGTTCTAGATCAGGTATCACCTGTCCTCTCATAGGCTGCAAGAGTGATGTCAACAAAAGGAACTCGTCATTGCATACTCTTAATTCAACCGAAATCCAGGATATGCCTACTCTGTTTGGATCACTGGTACTGCTCAGTGATCCTGCAGCATTACTGATGACAAGACTGCAGCCCAAGTGCAATCAAGGAAAAGCCAGGAGCTGCAGCTTTCATCAATGGGACTTTAAACAAGGGGTTTTCATGAGCACCAAGACATATTCTGCTTGACATGCTGGCACAAAGTCAACATAGAAGAATGCTGTGTCAGGAAACTGTCATGAAATTTACAGCAGAAATACAACCCTTCAAATTCTCCTCTGAGAAAAGGGTTCATGTGGAGTTGTTTGATTACATAAAATTACATAATTTCTATAAACGCGAGGATGTTAGAGACAATATAAAAATGATCACAACATAATTGTTAGGCAGGATGAAGCTCTTATAGGAGAGCACCTGCAGAAGTGCCTCAGAGAATTAAAAAGCTTAATCTGTATTGCTATCATTATTTTCAAATGACATTCAAACCTGCCACTTTGAATTTCTTTTCTGCAAAAAATAAAAGGAATATTTAATCATCAGAGCATTAGTCTCCTGTTAGGACATGGCTGTATCAGAAATAATTTTAGTGGTGAGATTTAAGGCCTTTTAGTCAAAAGGTCGTAAGGAACTGCCTGTAATACAGACAGAAATTTGACCAGTCGAAACCGGGTCCAGGACTCTTTATGGTGCAAATTCGGATCGGGGGCTGTCCCTGCCCTTCGTGGGAGCTTGCCTCTGTTTTAACTCCTTATAGGCCAGCTTTCGCACACCTGGGCGCAGGGACACTGGCCAGTCAGGAATTGCGGAGGGAAAGGGAGGAGCCCTTGTCGGTGCTGCGAGGCGAGTGACCCGCGGGATGGCCGCGCCGGTCGCCACGCGGGGGCCAAAACTCGGAGCCTTGCACCGGTGCGGAGTTTCACCCCGCGAACGCGAGAGCCGCGGCCCCGCGCCCCGCGGCAGCCCCGCGCCCCGGCCGCACCTGGCGGAGAGAGGCGGCGCGCCCCGCCCGCCCCACCTGGGCCCGCCGTGCCGAGCGGGGCCGCCCCGCGCTCTCCATTGTGCGGCCGCCGGCTCGGGCCACCTGCCGGCGGCGCCAGGGCCGCGCTGGCTCCGGGCACCGCTCCGCGCCTCCTCTGCCTCCCACAATCCCCACGCCCACCCTCTCCGGTCTCCGGCTGAACCGGGGCGAGCCCGCGCCTTCCTTCCCCGCCTGCCTCCCTCCCGTCCCCCGGCTGGCGGAGCTCCGCCACCTCCCCTCCCCCGCCCTCTCTCTCCCTCCCACCGCGCGGCCGCCGCCCCTCCGCCGCTGCCCGCCGGAGCCGCCGACTTCCCCTTGAGCGCGGGTCGCCGCCGCCTCGCCCTGCCATGAGCCGCCCCCCATCGCAGCCGCAGCAGCGCTGAGCGGGGAGCGCGGAGCCATGCCGGGCTGGAAGAAGAACATCCCCATCTGCCTGCAAGCCGAGACGGAGCGAGGTGAGCGTGGAGCCCCGGGGGCGCCAGCCGCCCGCCGCGAGGGAAGGCGGGCGGGCGGGCCGGGGTCTGCGGCGCCGCCGGCTGCCCTCTCGGCAGCCGTGCCCGGGCACGGCCGCGGCCGCCCCGCGGTGGGACGGGCGGTCGGCCCCGCGCCTTCCATCTTGCTCCGCCGCCGCGGCGGGAGCGGGGACTGCGGGGGGCGGCACCCGTGCCGGGCCGGGGGACACACCGGGCCGGCCCCCGCCGCCTCCGCCGCAACTTTACTTTTCTCTGCGGTGCTGCCGCCCGCGCTGCCCCGGGCCGGGCTTCTGTAGCCGGGGGGCGTGAGCCGGAGGGTAGGAAGGTAGCTCCGGAGGGGTGGGAAGGTAGCTCCGAAGTGACTTCGCGAAACTTCTTCGCGTGTGGCTCTGCCCCGGGCCGCTGCCGGACCTATCCCGTCCCTCCCGGGGGGCGTCGGTGAACCGGCGGCGATCGCGCCTCGGCGGCGGGCAGTGCCCGCAGTAGCTGCCCCGAGTCCCGGCAGCGGTCCCGGGATGGCCTCTGGTCCCCAGAGCCCGTCCTGGTCGGTGATGTCAGAAGTGAGAGGGTTTCTGGTCACTTTTAAGAATAAACTATTTGTTTGTTATGATAAAACGGTGTGTTTGCCCCTTCCTCAGAGAGAGCTTCTGTCATGGGTGTGTGTTGTGCCCCTTGTTCTGTCTTCAGCCTGTGAGTCAAAGATAAAAAGGCTGGGACACCAGTTACTCTCGAGTATGCCCGTCGAATTATGTCTTTGATTTACAGGTTAGATCCGTGGCAGGATGTGGAGTCCTGGGGCAGGACATTTGGGTTTGGTTGCTGCCGTGTTACTGGCTCTCCTGCTAGGAGCAGCAATTCACTGAGTATTCAAAAAGAGGAGGTTCTGTTTGCTGTGTGGAAGAAGTCTTGTTCCCTTGCATTGTAGGTGGAGGTCTTTTGCAGAACTGCTACCCTTCTGACTAGTAAATCCTATCCCTAATGGGAAGTTCATCACAGACATATGACATCATGAAAATAGTTGCTGAAATGAGCGCAAGGTGTTTCAGCTGCGAAAAGCAAGCTTTTGAGTCTTTATTCTTAGTAAATACATCATTACCAAAATCTGTAGTCATATTTCTTTATGTCACAAATCTGTATAGGAGAGGAATCACAGAAATAGGATTGATGACAGTTGTCAAAATATATCAGATGCATTTACAGATGAGGGAACTTTAGAAAGGGTCTAATCTGGCTGTGTCAGAAACTGGAAAGATTTTCTCATTTCATTCTGCATAGAGGTTGTGTCATGAGCTGTAACATGAGGACTTGTCTTCATTCAGGGTAAACAATGGTGGTGGTTTTGCTCTGATGGGTTTAATGTCAGAATACTGATTTGTTAACAGTTCTTGTTTATTCCTATTTCTGTTTAACCTCTTTCAGCTTCATTATGAAGCTGAATAGATTTATATATGTTAATAGTCTTACCACTGATGCTTTTCTTTATTGTATTTCAATTGTGGAAAGAAAAAAAAAAAACTCTGCCTAAAGTAAATTTTTGCCTTCTAAAGTACGTTGCATTGTATAGTTCTTAAGTTTTAGCTAATAATTTAGCAGGATTCCAGTCACCGGAACTTTCATGATTTAGATTTGGAAAAATATTAAATGGTCAAAATATTTAATCAGTATTGAATTTAGTAGTTCTTGAGTATGAAGAATAGATGAAATAAAGCTTTCAAGCTAGACAGAAAAACGACTAGTGCAGTAATGAAATGAAGGGGCATCTTTAGCTAATGTAGGAGTTTAGTGTGGCATTGAGTAAAAGGCAATTACAAATACAGTTAAATTCTGGTTCAGAGCCAGTTATGCTAACTCCCCCTCTTCTGTTTCTAGAAAATATTTCCATTCAGTTTGTCTGCAGAACGTTTTATGTACATTGTGCTATCAAAATACTTTTGTGAATGTAAATACTGCTATTTTGAAATAACAAGGTAGCTGATAGCTTTCTGTGATTTAGATATGGAGTAATACTGGATGTGAAATATTTAGTAATATAAATTGTATTTACATCACATATACAAGTATGCCTTTATATAGGATATAAAATATCCATTTATCCATCCAAATGCTTGTGTATATAGGATAAGAATATTCATACAGAATGTAAGAATAAGAAACATTTTAATGCTTGTATATTTCCTTTGATTTTATGTTGCTGTAATCTGATTGTTTTAATCAGTGTTTGTTCCTATGAAAGGAGCTAGTCTTTATTCAACCCTATGAACACTGGTAGGACTGACTAGTAGTAATTTTCCTGTATAACAACACAGACCTGCTAAGTTAATTTGGTGCTGAAGTTTTTTGGTAATGATCGCTTGTAAAATAAACTACAAAATGAAAAGGGATTAAACAGCCCATCCAAACCAGAAAAGTACCCTTCAACCACAAACCAAGCAAGATCTCAAAGAAGAAGTGAGCAGGTAAGTAATGCCAGTTTATCCTTGTGCCTCCTGCTGACTTTCCCCTTCAGGAAAGCCTCTCCTGCTGGCTTTATTATATCCACAGTCCATACCCCCTTCGCTGTCATAATAAACAGGCACTGCGCAGCTTTAATTTCAATCCTAGTTGTAGCAGCAGATTTCAGCTGGAAAAAGTCAGCTCTGGAGGTGCTGGGAAAACTGGGAAGGCAAAGATTTTTCTGTGGTGAAGTATGAGTGGTTTGTACCAGACTCTTTTTTTCCCCCTCAAATGTTACGGGCTTTCTTGAGAGCTCTGTGTCTTCTGCATGCATGTGTGGGGAGCTGATTGGGCTCTTAGGTTCTCAGCAGTGGAAGGAAGTAAGTTGTGGGCACTAGGATATGAGGCTTGAGGGGTGGCTGGATTTGTTAGAGAGGATGTGGGGGCTGTATCCTCAAGTCACTGCAGCATAGCAGTTTCACTGGGTACCAGTACTCTCTTCTCACTCCAGACCAATGCAACATTGCTTTGGGGAGCACTTCAAGGCTGTTTTATTTCCCTTGGTGCTCAGCTCATTTAGGGTGTCAGGAACTGGATGGCAGTGCTACCACACTGCAGTGCATTCCACAGCTTGTTCTGGTGCAAGGAATAAACTTAAAAACTATCCAAGGAACTGCGTTGTTTTGATGTGAGGAACTCTTGGGATATGGCACATGGTGGTAACTTTGTGCAGACCTACTGAGTTTGTTCCAAGTGGGGTTATTTTAGTGTATTGGTATCCTTGTTTGCCCCGTCCTTGCTTCAGAGCCCCCCTTCTATATTGAGTGTCTACTGCAGAAAGTCCTTAGCGCAGCCTGTGATCATTGTTCCTACAAGTCATGCGCTGAAATGGAGGTTATCCAAAAACTAGATAAAATCAGAATTTTACTAATGGAAATTGGCCAGTCTTACTGAAATGAAGTAGCAGAGATGTGGTCAGTGCTGTTGGCTCACCTTGGCAACAACTGATACACTGAGTAAAGGAAAATAACCCGGGATAATGTTTCAAGCATCAGAGCATGTATTTGCATATAGAGTTTAACATTTGTGAGAGTGCTTTGTGGTGGAGAAGATTCTCTTCTGAGGGCTGGCAATCAGTGATATTTCAACAAGTATTTTTAGATGTCTTGACTGGAAATTATATGGGATACTTACATTAGCTTAAAAAAATCATATTGTGCTGGTTTTCAGTGACTGACACTGTATTTAAGATATGAAGTGGAGAGCTGCTTTTCTGTGTGTACTGCAGCGCAGCGCCTGGTATTCTGCTGCCTGCTCTGTAGTCAAACAGTACTCTGCAGTGGCTGTGATGCTTCTGGCTTTCACTGCCACAATTATCATAAGAAGTTCTCTCGTTTAGTGGAAAGAAATTGTGCTCTGTGTTAAGTAAACTATTTGTAACATATACCTGGTGTATTTCAAAAATTACTTGTGAAGATGTGCTAGTATAAAACAGTACCTTTAATTCAGGGTGCACTTCCCTCCTCCCCAGTTTTCTGCCTAAGATATAAATCAGATCTTGCTGTAAACCACTTTCTGAGGTGACATATTTGCAAATACTTTAGGAAGAAAAATG